CTGAACCACCATCGAACCCCAAGAGAGGTAACTTTCTCAACTTCTACATTTCTAATCTCTGTGTTTAATCAAAGGCACCTGACTCTTTCATAAGGACTACTAAGATACTAAAACTGACTTTTATCAGTTTGTAATTTTTACCATCAGGTTAAGCAATAACCTATAGTAGAAGATCTTGGATTTTTCTAAAACTCTAATTTGTAACCTACATTTGGATCACAGGTTCTGTAAGAAATACATTGGAATAATTATAAAAGAAATTTAAAATTGCAACTCACAAAAAATGTAGGCTTATTGGTCATTAAAGTGAAAATTTAATAATGAAAAATATACAGATCTTCCACACAATAAGAAATATACATATCTCTAAGATGTATCCACTTTTAAAATTATTTGCTAGCATTCTAACATTCATTTCTTGTTGCATAACAATAAGTTGCAGAAATTATTACATATATTTTTTTCTTATATGCCTTTGGCTGATCTTTTGGAACATGACAAATTGTACCAAGTCTGAAAGGGCAGTAAAACAGAATGGCGATCAGTTCAAAGATGGACATCCATATAAAGGACAATCTTGTACTCAATAATCCTGCCGTATGTTTTAAAGTGTACAGTTAGACATATCAATTTCTAATTTAAGCTTTTTATCCTACATTCTGTTTGTGGCAGATATTTTTTCCTCCTTTACTAATTAAGTTTCCCTTGAGTTTTTTTTTTTTTCTATCCCCCTTAAGGCATATGTGCTTGCCAGAGAGAGAGAGAGAGAGAGATAGTGAGAGGGAAAGTGAGAAATCATCCCACAGGGAGGATGGCCATGCCACGATCCCTTCTTTATTCTCCCAGATCTTGGGCACACATGCACATGTGTTCAGCATGATTCAAGCCACCAGATCCGGGACTTGAACCACAGTTGGTCATGTGTGAATCCAGCAATATAACCATTACAACATCTGCTGGCCCTAAGTTTCATTTGAGTAAAACTTAAATCTCTAAAAATAAAATACAGATGTTACAATATTCTTGCTTTTGTAGGTTTGTTGATTGATAAACATATAACTAAATCATTACACACATAACCAAAGATTTTTCAAACTAAGATCACAAAATTTAAAAAAAAGAGAGAACAGCAAGATTCTGTTATTCTATATTAAGTAGACAAGTCAAGATTTAATGCTAAGTGAAATGAGCCAGAGTATGAAAGAGAAGCATTGTATATCCCTGCCAGTATAATAATAAACTGGAGGATGTTTTGTTAAATAAACCAGTCACAGAAGGACAAATACTAGACAATTCCACTTACATAAGGTATCAAAAATAGTCAAACTCATATATACGTAGACTAGAATAGTGGTTGCCAGGTGCTGTGGGAGAAATCAGAACTTGCATTTCAATATATATAAAGTTTCAGCTGAACAAGATGGCTAAGGTGGCTGGCAGATTGTATAATAGTTAAGGCATTGGACTCCCACATGGCCAATCACAGTTCAAGTCCTGGACCCAGCAACTTGAAACTCATGCTGGATTGTGTGTGTGTGTGTGTGTGTGTGTGTGTGTGTGTGTGTGTGTGTGTGCATGCCCAAAATCACGAGAGGAGGAGAATGGAGGAGAAGGAATTACAATGTGGTCATCATCCCCCCTGGAGTGTGATTTTTCACTTTCTCTCTCTCTCTCAGCCTCTCTCTCTCTCTCTCTCTTTCTCTCTCTTTCTAGCCAGTACATGCACCTTATAGCAAAAATCTCTCAATAACATAAAACAAAATGAACAAACAAACAAAAGATGGCTAAGTTCTAGAGATCTACTGTATTCATCATGTCTATGGCTAACAGTGCTGTAGTGTAGATTTAAAAGCTTAAGAAAATATCTTATGTTAAGTGTTCTTGCCACAATTAAAAAAGGGGGAAATGATGGTTTCAATTTCAAATACTGAAAATGCATTTAACTGCTTTTAAAATTGTATTTACTACACTGTAACAAAGAAAACTTATAAAAAATCTGCTATATATCACACATAATTAAAAAATACTCCTTAAATTGGAGTACTAAATTGTTTGAACATTTTAGGGACTTTTGAGCTTTGCTGTACTTTTCCTTCACGAGTAGTGTGCCAGTAAACATTCCTAGAGGTAGTTGTAGAAATGTGTCTTTCTGTTGAAACTCACAGCTAATGTTGGTACTATGTTTTTAATATTATGTTTTCTTTCTTTTGCTATACCAATACAATTTCCATTATGTTATTATTTTTTTCTATGTATGCTTTTGCTGTGTGAGCTTAGGTGGCTAAATCAAAACAATACAAAACAAAAATTACTTTTCAGACAAAAATTGTACATCTCTTTCATCTTTATTTTCTTCAAGTCCAAAGTCTTATGCCTAAGTCTTTTATCCATTTTTAGTTGATTTTTGTACATAGTGCCATGTTTTTCCTGCATGTGGATATTCAGTTTGTCCAAAACCCTTACTGAAAAGATTCTTTTCCCAGTGTATGTTCTTGTCTCTTTTGTCAAAAACTATTTGACTATAAATGAATGGGTTCATTTCTGGACTCTTTATTCTAGCCCAGTGGTCAGTATTTCTACTTTTATGGCAGTACCATGCTGCTTTATTTACCACAGGTTTGTAATACAGTTTGAAATCAGGTAATGTGGTGCTTCCAGCCATGTCCCTTTTCTCTTTTGTTCAAGATTGCTTTGGCTATTTAGAGTTTATTATGTTTCCTAATGTATGATCCAGTGAATCCAGTACTATATATATATAGTATATATATATATATATATATGAAACTATAAATGGAAAATTAATGATCTGCATTTCCCTGTTCATTGTGGGGAATAACTTTGTTATTGTCACTTTTCACAATAGCAAAGTTACAGAGGCAATATTTGTGTCCATCAACAGCTTAATGGTTAAAGAAAATGCATCATATAAGCACAGTGAAATACTATTCAGGTTTTCAAAAGAAGAAAATCTGTCATTTTGAACAACATAGATGAATCTGCAGAATATTCCTTGAAATGCAATGAGCCAGGCACAGGAAGACAAATCCTGCATGTTCTGACTTATTTGTGGAATCTAAAACAAATCCATAGAAGCTGGATCAGTCTCATAATGCAACAGTTAAGCATTGTGCAGAGGAAGCTAGATTCCACAGAGCTGACTAAGGTTCAAATCTAGTGGCAACATATCAGCTGTGCATGTGCCCAGATTCTTTCTTTTTCTTTTTCTTTTTCTGAAGAGGTTTTTGCTATAGGGCAGAGACAGAGAGATAGAAAGCAAGAAATCACCCCCCCAGGGGGGTGGCCATGCTGCAATCCCTTCTCCGCCATCTTGGGCATGCCCTCCCATGTGCCCGGCGTGAGTTTAAGCCACTGGGTCCGAGACTCGAACCACGGTCGACTACATGCGAGTCCAGTGACATAGCCATTACGGTAATTGCTGGTCCTGTGCCCCAGATTCTGACAGGATGGAAAACTGGAGAAAGAAGCATGGCTGCATGATCAAGGCTGAGCTTGCTCTGGGGGATGCTGTCTCTCTTCTGTTCCCACCCCTCTTCCTCACCCCACCCGCTCCTCATTCATATACACCTTCTAGCAGAGGTTATATATATTAATTACAGAAGCAGAAAGTAAATTGGTGCCTACCAGAGGATAGAAAAGGGAAGAGGTATTGGTGAAAGGATAAAGTTTCAATTAGATAGTAGAAAATAGTGTTTTGAGATCTATTGCACAGAATAGTGGTTATTCTAAAATCATATATTTAAAAATTGCTGAGAGAGTAATCTTGAATGTTCTCACCATAAAAAATATATATTTAAGGTAACAGAAGTGTGAGTTAGCCAGATATAATCACTCTATGTTGTACACATATAGCACAACATCACTTTGTGCCTTATAAATATATCATTTGTCAATTTAGAATTAAGAGACAAAATTAATAAAATTGTAAGCAATATCTCAGAGCATATATGTAGATAAGTATACATGTGTATGCCATGCAATCAAATGTTAGCCTTTTCTTTAACATTTGTGTGACTTTTTCCAGCTACCTATTAAATATTTACTGCCTGTAACTATCCTATGATGAGGCCTTTAATTTAAGAAAATGTATTTTATGGTTATTGGTTCATGTTGTAGATCTAGTGACTTGAATTTTATTTGGAATAAAATAGATTTTATCTTAAATGTTTTGAGTTCCTACATACCAAAATGATTATTTTTATTTTCTCTAAATTAAAATATTTTCATCACATATAATCTGGTATTAGAGAATATTCGATAGTACAGAAAATGTTTAGGAAGAGTGAACCAAGTTAATATTCCAAGAACATCAAGTCGTCATTTAATCAAGTTTCTACATCTTTCTACCACTTAGCAAATGTTATAAGAAAAGATAATGCTAAACAACGAGGAACAATGCACAAAAGAAATTTATAAAGGTCATACTGGAAACACAGCAGAACCTTGGCAATGATGATTTTTCAAGATTTTGTTATACAAGGCCTATGGTATGTACTGAATTTTAATTTTAATTTTGCTGAGGCTTTAGTAATGTTTAATGGGAAGATGGTTTATGTGAGCTTATCACTTAGCTCTTACAAGATACTTGTTTGCTGGATAGGTATTGAAATCTCACTAAAACATTCTACTTTTAGTCTTTGCAGTCTACACATTAACTTATGAGGGATTAAAATGTGTTTAAATGATCACCAATTAATTTTTTTTTTTACATTTAGGAACATGCTTTTTTGGTACTACAGACATGAATTTAACATAGTGAATTTGTTTGCATGGAGATATAATAGATTTTGCATTATAATTGTAATCAGTTTGTATTATTAAAGTAGAAAATTTTCACATAATTTTCTCCCATAAATAGTCTCCCATATATATAAGAGAAAGTTAAAGTAGCAGAGAAATAATAATCTATTACAGATTGTGTTATAAAAACTCAGAATGTATCTCCCACTTATGAAAAGGGACTGACTCCTTTCCTTTCAGCTAGTCTCAAATTCTGACTACAATTAAATTTCTAAAAAGAAAATCTTTCTCTATCCACCCGAGCATTAGGTAACTTTTCTATTTTCACTGGGATTTATATTACGTAGGGGAAAAAATAGAAATTATTTAAACTGCAATTATTCTGTTTTAATGTTCCAATTTTCCATACTATTAAACTATAGCAGGAACCAGCAGTTAGCATAATGGCTATGTCACTGAACTCCCACGTAATCGACCATGGTTCGCTTCCCGGACCTGGTGGCTTAAAACTCACGCTGGGCGCGTGTGCGTGCGTGCCCAAGATCCCGAGAGGAGAATGGAGGAGACAGGATTGCAGTGTGACCATCCCCCCGGGGGGTGATTTCTCGCTTTCTGTCTCTATGTCTCTTTCTGTCTGTCTGGCGAGCACCCGTGCCCTATAGCGAAAGTCTCTCAAAAAAAAAAAAAAAAGAAAAAACCACTATAAACTAAATGTTAACTTGCCAAAAACTAGAGTTGGTGTTAAAATATTTCTTTTATGTTATTTCCATTTTTAAGCTTAATATAAATAATTAAAAAGTCATTACATATGAAAAAAATCATTTCACTTTTTGAAAGAATTTATAAACAAGATAAAAGTTGATTAAAAACTCATTTAAAAAAAAGCTCATTTACTTGTTTTTTATTTGAATAGAATTAATTGAGAAGATCTACTTTTATGTCAGTGGTTTTCATTCCAAATAAAATCATCAATAATAATAAAAGAAAGCTGAATTACCAAATAAAAAATTGTTACAGATATATTTAAAATAATGTCACCAATTAACCTATTAAATATTTTTCCATGAGAAATCAAATAGCATTAACTTTTTAAAAATCACAGAAAGAAGACAGAAAAATTATAAGCTATATACCAAATTAGTCATGTTCCAAGTATAAAGTCATGATGTGGAAAATTCCTTTGACAGCGATAGAAAATTTTTAAATTATGCAAAAATTATCATCATAGTTCAAGTCATAACTGAAATACTTAATCTATAAAATCTTATTTAAGTGGAAATGACAGTGTTAACAGAAAATTTTTAAAAGCTAACATTTATGTACCACTACTTGCTAAATGCTTTTGTAGTAGGGTCACTTAGTCCTCATAACAATCTTAATATATTACATCCTTTTAAATAAAACATTAAAAAGTTAAGTTACATGAATAAATTTGCTGTTAATGTAAAACCAGATTTTGAGTCCGAAGTTAATCTCATATGACAACAATATTTAACCATGGTTTTGTAGCATAGTTGTTTGAGGATTTTGGGGAGTTGTTCTTTAACAACTCAGTTAAAATTTCTTCATAGCCTCTTTTTTTTTAATGTGCAAAAAATGTACAGTTATGTTAAAATTAAATAATATAATCATTTATATAAGTTTCTACTACAAAATTTCTTTTTTATTTATATTTTATTTCATTTTCTTTTATACACTCGATCATGTTATTTAGCTTACAAAGTGAATATTTCAATATGTGGACTTTTCCCCCTAGTCCAGTTGATAAAATATAAAATTATCTTCAACAGATAATACCACATTTCTTTGTCCCATTAATGTTTTGCCTCTCTATTTTTTTCTAAATGTCCTTCCTCAGACTCTACTCTTTCACACACACTATATCTAGTATTCACATCCATTTACTGTTTTTCTATATCCTTTAGTCAATCAGTTTCAGTCATAGAGTGCGGACATTCAGTATACTCAAAATTGCTAACCTCTGTTTGTTTAAAAGAAATCTCTCTTCCTGTCACTATTTCCACTCCCATAGCTGTTGTTGTCTCTGCTCATTAAGTATTGTACTTTGCTTAGTGATTTGTAGGACTACGCTGTATCGAACAAACATGGGAATCAAAATATGCACTTGAATCCTAAGGTTAACCAGTAAATAACCATGAAGGAGGGGTGAGAAGAATATAAAGCCCTAAAGTCAAAGCAGAATGGAATAATACGATTTCATACCCAAGTAGCACTGACTCCAAAACACATTAGAAAAAATGAATTAATCCTAGGAAAAAAATGGGCAAAGATATACTTACTGATCTACCAAGGTATTATTATGAATCAGCTATTGCTGAGTATCTTCATGTTTCCCCCTTAACTTTATATACATGTCATTAACAAATATTTATTTAATTTCTACTTGACTTTTTACATTCTCTGTTAATCAGTTTGCATAATCATGCGTTCTGCTAAAAATTGAGTAGAACAGCAGAGACAACTGATATATGTAGTATAATGTGAGTCATTTTATGGTGAGTACACATGTCTTATAAATCACTAGCAAATAGAAAATACTACTTCATATATGATTTCAGAGAGTAAGTAGTGAATGTTAGTAGCATTTTCACATGATGAAATGTGGATATGCCAATAAATGAGATATTTAGAGATCCAATAGTACATATACATATAAATTCATATAAAATTATGCTTATAAATGATTAAGGTAAACTGTCCTAAAAGGGAGGAACTTTAAGGAGATTAACTGATGATTAGAAGATTGAGGTTTAAGTCTAACGTTGCTCTGGCCAGGATTTAACTAATTACTAGGTTTCATTTTTCTTTTCTTTTTTTTAAAGAGGTTTTGCTATAGGGCGCGTGCGTTCACCAGACAGAGAGAGACAGAGAGACAGAAAGCGAGAAATCACCCCCCAGGGGGGATGGCCACGCCACAATCCCTTCTCCATTCTCCCCTCAGGATCTTGGGCACGCACGCACACGTGCCCAGCATGAGTTTTAAGCCACCAGATCCGGGACTTGAACCGTGGTCAGCTACGTGGGAGTCCAGTGACATAGCCATTATGCTAACTGCTCGTCTCAGGTTTAATTTTCCTTTAGTAGCATGAAGGCACTGGAATAAATTATATGGTGTGGGAGGAAGATAAGACACTGAGAGGCAGGAGGGAAGGAATCAACAGGAAAAATAGAACAAAAACTTTAATGGCTACCAAAAATGAAAAATTATCTGTTGATGGTAATGTGCATGGTAATATCTTTGGACTAGTTTGTAGTATACTAATGCCTCAAAAGTCCATTTTGTAGGTTGTACAGTAATTAAATGTAATTTTTTTAAAAAAAGAGGTATATCATGGAAAATTGGGAAAAGAGAAAAAATTATAATATACTAAGTTGAATTGAATAGTTAAAATAACCATTAATAAGGTGAGAACAAATATTTCTAATAAATGGCAAATCATATATACTAGAGACAATCCTGCATTGCACATGATAATTTAATTATTAGTAATGTAAAATAATACAGTTGCGGGACCAGCAGTTAGCGTAATGGCTATGTTGCTGGATTCCCATGTAGTCGACCGCGGTTCAAGTGCCTTTCCTGGCGGCTTAAACTCACGCTGGGTGTGTGGGCGTGCGTGCCCAAGATCCTGAGAGGAGAAAGGAGAAGGGATTGCAGTGTGGCCATCCCCCCTGGGAGGTGACTTCTCACTTTCTGTCTCTCTGTCTCTCTCTGTCTTTTTGGTAAGCTCATGTGCCCTATAGCAAAAACCTCTCCAAACATAAAGTAAAATAAAATAAAATAAAATAAAATAAAATAAAATAAAATAAAATAAAATAAAATAAAATAATTTCTATTTATATAAAATGATGACAAATAAGAAATTATTTTTAATTTTCATAATGCCATGTCAACTACTAAGGATTAGAGTAATGAGCACTAAATGCATTATTTGCAATCTAAAAAATTTTCAAATTACCGGATACTCTGTTGTTTTTCTAACATTTTTGAAGACTAACTATATTTTATATCTAGTAAATTTTAAATGCCAGTATTTTATCTCTCACTGTCTTTTAAGCTATTTGAACCCAAATGCATGCATTTAAAAATAATAAAACATCAGCCAGCAGATGACGTAGCAGTCACATCACTGGACTGCTACATGGCCAACCACAGTTTGAGTCCCAGATATGGTAGCTTCAAGTTCACTCCGGGCATGTGTGCATGCATGCCCAAGACCCCAGGAGGAGAATGGAGGAGAAGAGCTTGTGACATGGCTTTTCCCCAGGGGGTGGTGGGGGTGATTTCTCTCTTTCTGTTTCTCTGTCACTGTCTCTCTGGTGAGCACATGTGCCCTACAGCAAAACTCTCCAAAATAATGATATTAATAATAATTATAATAATAAAATAGTTTATCTTAAGAGTATACTGAAATTGGGGAACCAGCAGTTAGCGTAATGGCTATGTCGCTGGACTCCCATGTAGTCTATCGCGGTTCGTGTCCTGGACCCGGTGGCTTAAAACTCACGCCGGGCATGTGTGCGTGCATGCCCAAGATCCCGAGAGGAGAATGGAGGAGAAGGGATTGCAGCGTGTCCATCCCCTCTGGGGGGTGATTTCTCGCTTTCTACCTCTCTGTCTCTCTCTGTCTGGTGAGCGCACACGCCCTACAGTAAAAAAAAACTCTCAAAAAAAAAAAAAGTATACTGAAATTGTTACAAGTTAAAATTAGGTTAGTAGTACTCA